TTTTAGGTTATGGAGCCAGAGTTTGGTGACCAGAATCTGCGATCTGTGGAGGAAGTCTTAGAACAACAGAGAGAGATAGAGTAAGTACAATTATCTTCTCTGAGTTTGGAAGAAGTGTAGAAACATGGGGCATTGGTTGAAGTAATATTACAATGTAGATAGAATGATCTATCTTTAAAATTATATTGTCCTAAGGACCCAGTTGAGGGCTTGTCCTGAGATACAGTTAGATTCTTTTAACTAAAGTAAAACATGTAAAATATACTACTTTAAACATGTATAGTACTTATTAAAAGAATACATTTATTTACATGCACTTGTATTGTATGGTCATGATGATACATTTATTCTACTATTAAATACTTGTACAGTATATCTTGAAATACTTTTATTTACATGTAATCTATGGTTTATCTGTGAAATACATATATACCTTGAAATACTTTTATTTACTTGTATATATAATGTGTGATACATTTATTCTTCAATTAATTAAACATATAGAATTCTAAAATTTTACTAGTTTAATATGTAGCTCTTGGCGTTAACACAAATTTGTTTTAACAGACCACTGTTAGATTTAATGGTCATTGGTTCACATGCAGCGTAAGTATGAGTGATATAGGAAGATTTTTTTTTGTATTCTAGAAAATGTAGAACTTTTGAAAGATTATAAGCACTTTTATTTTTCCCTCACTTAGACCCTAATGGATATAAGAAGGAGCTTTGAAAATAAAAAAAGTGTGACCTGCATTTTTGAATAAATACATCATTGTATTATGTAAATTTAGCATTTGCACATCATATTGTAAACAGAGTGAGGCACATACTAATCTATTTATTTTTTAAAATTTTATATTACCATTCCTTTTTTGTCATGATATTCAGATTTCTATACTGTAGAGTCCATAAACTATATAAACAGAAATCTAAATTTTGGATAAAAAAAACCCGTCTTATTCCCACTTTTATTAATGTCGTATTTATCAACAAGTAAAGTGTTCATATACAAGGCAGTGATTTGGATGATATGTTTACAGGGAACAGAAGCGAGAGCTGGAGAGGAAGCTACAGGAATTAAACAGGAGACAACAGCAGCTTAACACATCTGTGGGAGGAAACATTTCTCCCAGGTATGACCAGGAAATCATCACGGCTAACGGCCAAGTTTATCAGCAGCAGCAAGGAATAAAGGCCCCAGTACCATTGTCAGGGTACCCCCAGGCCAGCCAAGGCCCTCAGTCCCAGTACACAGGCTTAACACGTCCAGTTCAGAATGGGCAGTCATTAAGTGAAGTAAGACAGACATCCCAGGGGTATAATGTTCCTCCAGCAAGTGGGCCACCCTTGCTGAATGGGCAGACGACTCTTAATGGGCAGATGTGGGCAGAGCCACCTCAGTCCATACGTTCTCAGGTTTCCATGGCATCGGTCTCCTCTCACAGTTGGGTAGAGCCCCCTTCTCTTTCTCAGTATACCATTCCATCCAGTTCATCCATTCCAAATGCTCAGACTGCCCCACCATTTTCATATTTTTCTGTTACACCCTCTGTTACAATTGCTGCTTCTGTCCAACCTCACGTGAGTGCTAGTCAGCCGACCAATGTTCGTTCTGTGGCACCTGGAACGTTCATTACCCCTTCACTGCCAATTCCTTCCACAATCTCCATGACAGTGCCAACACAGTCACAACTACAAGCAGAACACATGAGGAAAGTGAAAGAATACCAGCAACAACTTCTACTCAAGCATGAACAGAGCAAGAGGGTCCTGGCTCAGACCAGGGCAGAAATCGAGAGACGAAGACAAGAACTTCTCCAAAGGTTTCCTCAGCTAGAGTTCAAGTCTCCAGTGGATGGCTCTGTAAAGCCGGCAGAAAACGGATTCAGTGAAGATGTTCAAGTAACCAGTCAAGGGGAACCTAAGCTTCTGACCTCAAAAACTCTCTCTCCAAATAGGGCTGCCATGACCTCTCTTCTATCTCAGTTAGCAAGTAACCCATATTACTCTGCCAGACTCTCTGGACCAGCAGAGGAACAAGAACCCTCGGAAGCCAAAGCAGAGAACGGAAAAAATAAATTTCAAAAGGTGAGGAAGTCCCTGCCATTCGATGCTGATGATACAATCCACGAGACGCCAGGGAAACCAGGAAGATCGCCGCTCTACCAACCAAGCCCAGGCTCGACCACCGCTAACGAGACCACAGACCTGAATGACACCACCATGTCATCCTCGACTGAGAGGGGGAGTCCAGCATTACCAGGGAGGAGATCAGGTACCACCACAGCGGAGTCTGATCTCTCCCTCTTCAGCACCGCCAAGGAGAGGAATGATCTCTTTGAGCAGAGACAGCTGGAGCTGAGGCGGCAGCTAGAGGCCATACAGAGACAGAAGGAGGAGATTCTACAGCGCCACCAGGTGGTGCAGAGAAAGCTACCACCTCAACAGCTGGCACCGCCTAAAGATCATCTACTAGACTCAGAGGGTAAGTTCTGGATTATTATTCTTTTCCTCTTTAAACTTTTCAAGAAAAATTTTATACTTGGAAATTGTATGGCTTTTTTTTTTTTGGATTTAAATGAAAGAATGCAGAGTTCATATTTTAATTTTAGAAGATTCTTCTGAACTGGAGTTTTCTGATGACCAATCACCCTTGGCTGATAAACCAGGTCAAAGGTTAGCCCCTCCCAATAAAATGGCAACACTACTAGGAGACCACAGGCCTCATGAACTTAGTACTATTCACGTAAGTCCTTTAATTTGATCTGAATTTCTCAGTATTGGTTGATTTTTTTATGTTTAAAATATGCTTTCATTATTGTGTTTTACTATGTAGGAAGTGGAGACTTCCCCCTCTAGTGCTAGACATTCCGGAGTCGCGGCATCCAGTCGCCACAGTCTGTCCTCCACTGAGCGGAGCTCTATAGAAAGCACCCAGCCCCCACCGCGCGTGGAACCAGCCATCACACCTACTGACAGACGGCCGGCCGAGGACACAGGGTATAAGACGGCCCAGCTGGACGAAGTGATGGCGACGGCATCAGAGTTCTCTCCTGGGGTACTGGACAGGCTGAAGCAGAAAACCAACGACGTGTTTTATAATCTGAAGGAGGACGACTCGGCAGACTCGTATAAGATGATGAACTACACACCAGACTCTCTCTCTACTGGTAAAAGTTTGTTATGTATATGAATACCATGTTTTTTTCCTGTTTTAAATTCAGATTTACCAGAAGTTCTCACCAAATCAATTACTTTAAAAATTATTATTTTGAATTTTTTTTTATAAATTTGAAAAATTTTGATATAAAATACAGTGGAGCCTCATTTATCCGAACACTTTGGTTCCCTGTCAATTTGTCCGGATAAGTGAAGCGTCTGGATACCTGAATCACCAGTTAAACAAGACAAAATAACATTTTAAAATTCTATTCCGATGAAAAAACGTCCGGATACTGAAGCATCCGGATATCTGGCGTCCGGATATCTGAAGGTCCACTGTATTCAAATATGTAGAAAATTTGTAGAAAAGAAATTACTTCTTTTATTTTAACTTACAATCTGTCTTGCTTGATAATATTTTATTGGTTTTAGGAGCTTTGGAAGAACTGAATGTATCTTCAACTCTCTCTACAACTCCAGGATCAATCTCCATGGTAACACCTGGCTCCGAAAAATTGTCAGGAGTTCCAATGATTCAAGCTGCCAGAAACCAAAGCGACAGCACGGATGGGTCAATCCGAAGTTCTAAATCTTGGGCAGATGAACTTGTGTCATTTCATAAACTCCAACCCGAGAGAGCTTCCGTTGAATCGAATTCCAGGTCAGTGAAGGAGTCAGCAGATAATGCTCCACATACAGCCCCTGTGGACAGGAGTTACAACGTCGTTCACATGAGGCAGGGCAAAGTTTCTATGGAATTTGTCAAGGTTGGTTCCGACATGGATCTGTCGCAGTACCCAATATCGGAGTCCAGTGATAAATCAGATCGAGGTGTTTTGTCCCCGGCCGGCAGACTGGAATCAGAGCTATCCCAGTATCCAATTTCATCGGAGGTCTCGCCGAGCAGTCAAGACAATGGCAGAAACAACAGAGTATCTCCACACGAAAAGGACAGTGAACTTAATCCAGCAAGTCTGGCCTCCACATCCGAGAGCACCAGCAGCTACTTGGATTTAAAGATGGATAATAGCACCATGGGAACCAGGGAATTTGATTTCATTGGACAGAGCCGTGTTCAGATTATACCTGACAACACTTCAGGGGAATTTGTCTCTCCCGAGGCTCATTCTTATGATGTCAGTGGTAAAGTAGACTATGCTAGTACACCCAATTATAAATCAGTGCAACAATCTACAAAGAGACTGTCCCAGATTTCACAATTCACGACTTCTCCAGAAGAAACGGAAATCCAGGCCGGATCGTCAACATTTCCACGGTCAGACGGACAGTTTCGAGCTCTCTCGCTTCACATGGATGACTCCGAACATCAGTCCCCGGCCCAGCCTTTAGCCTTCACCAGGGCCTCGGGTCACGGAGGCCTCTCTCGGGTCTCGGAGGTGGGAGAGAGTCAGACGTCAGACCAGAGTAACCGGTCAGATTACAATCTTCTGTCCAAGCTTCCAGATGAGTCATCTCTCAGTCAGTTCACTGTGACCACCACTGACCAATCCTCCAAGGATGACCTGTCCTTGACCCAGATAACAGTGAATACAGACTATCCATCAAAGGCACTGGGATCCTTGACCCAGTTTTCATTCAAGTCCAGTCCTGATGTCCATGCTAAAACGGATTCTTCTCTGAGTCAGTACAGTGTTGATAGTCCTGGGGCTCAGAACATGTCTGATAAATCGGGCAGGAACACTTCATCTTCCTTGAGCCAAGGAGAGGAGGATGAGAGTTTTGTGGCTCAGAAGTTTGCTAACTTAGACCAGTTGATTCAAGAGTCTCGAGACTTGATAACCAAGCACAAGCAGCTTATTACTAAGAATAAGGAGATTGGTCAGTCAGGTTCAGGGGGCGTGTCTAGTGTTTTGACCACCCCAGAGAGTCAAAACGAGGCTACACCAGACAGCTTAGTCATGAAACAGATGTATTCTGCCAATATTGAGAGCACAATGGAACTCAGTGCAGACAATCACCCGAGTTACATGGAGAGTAGCAGTTTTCAACAGGTATCTAAGGAAAATAATTTTTGTAACAAAAACCTTGAGCATTATAAATCTTTCAATTCTTTTGATTTTTCAAGAGAAGAACAAAAGTAGAGCATGTATGTCAATTGAAAATTGATAAGATTTGCAGAACTCAGTCTTACCATGCTTTTATTTTGTTGAAAAGATAAGTTTACTTAATTGTATGATTTAATTGAATACATGTACACTATGTTTGTAGCAATACTTACTTTTCTTTTGTAAACAGCTGACAATGGAGAGTGGTATCATGGATGAACCTGATTTGACCTTGCTGTCTGTGACCTCTGACCTTGCAGGACAGGACAACACAGAGGACATTACAGGGGAATTAACTCATCGGTCCGACGGAACCAGCGGGGGAGACTCAATCTTGTCTTTCGAGCAACACGAGCAAAGTTTACGGAGTTCTCCTGACAGAGAAATCAGCGAGAGCTACTTCCAAGATTTAGCAGGTATATTTCCACAGTGATTGTATAAATATTGATACAACATGCGAATTATCCTTATAATGGACAGCAAAAATTTTGCATTTACTTTGATATTTGGTGTCTGTTTCAAATTTAAATTTTCATGGAAATAATTGGCATTTCATAAGTATAATAAGTATTGAATGCATTTTTAACCTGAAAATAAATTTCATGATTTAATTTTAGGAAGAATCAGAGGTAATGAGTGCACAAGCACTAATGATTTTGTGATTTCTTGGGAGATATCAATTCAAGCTAAACATCTCACTGTTCAACACATTGTGCCAATGTTGTTCACTTGTTCATGCATTTTCTCGACATTGTTTGTTTGTACAGGTCACCAGTTTGTCATGCATGTAACACAAAATTCTAAGTCATCAGGAGCTTGTGGGTGTTTTCTTTGCTTAACTCTTCAGATTTAGGTCTAAGGATTTATCGAAGCTGAATAATCTTGCCATGATCTTAAATGCTTAAAGCTTTTGAATTTCATCAGTGATTGATTTGAAATTTATAGAAGCTACATTATATCAAACTGGATGATATCATTAAGTCGAGCAGTACATTACATGCTTCTACTTTACTCATCAAAGAAAGCTGAAATATCTTATCTCCCCTTCATAAGAAAGACAAATTGTAATTTTTTTTTTTTTTTTGAGAATGGCCTTTAGAATTAATCCATGGCTAATAATTTTTATGACCCCATTTTACTTAATATTGAAAAACTGATGAATAATTGGTTTGCCATCCACAGCTATAGGTTATGTATTTTGCAGAGATTTATTACACATGTATAATATTTGGTTTTAGTATTGAATTTATAAGATTTTGTCTGAACTGCAAGTTTTAATATAACCCTTTGACATTAAGATTTCAATCTTGGAGTATGTCATTTTTATAATGTCTTTTATGCTTCTGATTTCAGTACCCCGAACCAATGACAACAACAATGCATCCCGCCCCGTGGCCCCAGTACAGAGGGATGCTGGGGATGAGAATGTCTTCCGAGCTGTCCCTGTCATGGTCAGCCCCACCCTCTCCCTCTCCATGAAGTTCAGCAGCTCAGACATCAAGGTCACCAAACCCCCTGTCTCCTGGTCAAAAGAACCAGAGGAAAACGAAACTAAATCAGACCAGAAACCCAAACGCAAATCTGACCCACTGATCAGTAAGGTCCAAGAGCAGAAGTCCGAGCTTGAGAAAATGGCCTCAGAGGCCAAACAGAAGGGACAGAAATCCTCAGGTCTAAATAAAGCCCTACAGCCCCGGGGTGGGGGATCAGGGGCACCTACTCAGGGAAAACTAGGGGCCAAATCGTCCAGTAAAGAGAGCAGTAAGCCAATCAGCCTGGGTCAGTTCATCAGCTCCAGGAAGGAGGGGTCGACACTGATGGGGAAGAAATCAGACAATAAACCCGTCCCGCTGCCAAAACCCCAGAGACCCGGGACAGGGGCCGTGAATGGAGGGACGGGTATGTCTAAAACCCTGTCCTCCTGGAAAAAGAGCCGAGGAATCAAGTCTACAGGTATAACCATAAACTTACAGATGAAAGTTAAGGATTGTTTTATTTATATTTATGTTCCTTAAGTTAAAAGCATTTTAAAATTCTGTAAAACAATATCTCTTATAACATGTTTTGACTACTGTCTCAATTTATTCATTCATACATTTATGCTGCAATTTACTTTCATGACTTCTTTGTGTCAGGTCATATCTTTGCAAAGCATTTCATGGTTTGTCATATAAGAGGGAATGAAGATGCATTAAATTTTATGGAGTAAACATATCAAGGATTTAAATCTTTAATATTTATTTGACCAATTTATTATCTTTAATACTGAACTTTGACCATTGTATTATAGTTCCCCCTCCCACCAAGTCCAGTGACCTCCCCTCGGCCTCCTCCAAATCCTTCCCCTCCCAGAGACCAGCCACGGCCCACAGCTCTGAGGACAGGATGTACGAACGCAACGTCAGGTAATTAGTGTGACCCCAGCGTGTGAATTCCTACAAAAGTTTGTATAGATATACCTGTGTGAAGGCTAATTACACCAAATCACCAAGTCACTAGGCTGGCTGGGCGTGCTCACAGTCACGATAAAATAAGCTACACTTCTGATTAACTCTCAGATTATAGATTCTTCATTTGGCTTGGATTAAAATACAATTTAATAGACAGTATGAAAAATTAACAAAGGTAATGAATTTAATTATTCAGTATCAAATATTTCTAAGAGGATCTTTTTAATTCTCTTTTTTTTTTTTTTTTGTAAAATAATGTTTTTTAGTAGCATAATATGTTCAACATTTTTGTTTTTATATTTAAGAAAAGTGAGAAGTGTAGCTTATTTAAATGATTGAATTGCTATAAAGTTTGTAGTCAATAAAGTAAAGCTTTATTTGGGATCAAGTATAGACACAGGGGTATATCATGGTATCTTAGTAAAATCATGTAGCATACATATATCATGTTTGTACATTGTATCGTAAACATGTATCATATGATAACAACATGACATTGAATGTATTGCATGTTCATAAACATGTAATCTGTACTCGTTGTCAATTCAAAAATATTGTACACAACTTCAGAGTTTCTCTTTTCAAAAATTGTCTCTAAAAGCTGAAAGATTTTATGTATTATTAGGCTTAAATATTTACCAGAGTGAAATTGAAAGGAAATCTAATTTAATACAAACATGTTTGTAGTGTCACCAGGTTAAAAATTATCAGTCAATATACCTGGTCTCAATAGCTCAGTGGTTAGAGTGCAGGCACGGCACTCAAGAGGCCCTGGGTTTGAATCCTGGTTGAGAGTTGAACCTGGTTGAGACTTTCACCACCTGGCAGAGTAGTATATACTTATTTTTCAGAGAAATGGAGTTACTAGATTTGATGAAAATTGGCTATTACAAATCTTTTATCTGTTATTTTATGTTGAGCTCTGAAGTTGTGATAGGGGGTTTGCATGTTGTGTAATGTAAGTGGAAGGTATTAAAAAACAGACATTTTGAGGACTTGTATATAAAAAAAAATCGGCAATATGCTTTGATGTTCAAATTTTCTTTAGTGATTTTTAACATGTTTAATACCATGTAAATTGAGTCAGCATGTATTTATTGAAATTTTCTGCTGGTATCAAAAGCCTCATGCATCAAAATGTCTGTTAAAATCTCACCTACATAACCCTGTCACAGTGTGTGTGTGAATTCACCCTTTGTTCCGCTAAGACAGAACCTTGACTACATCATCATGAATGCAGCCACCTTTTTTTAAATTGTTTGAATCTTTTGGTAATGAACAAGTAGCTATATTGGGAACTTTATACATATATACAAGTGCTGTAGGCAGAATTTATGATTGATCAGATACATTCCAAAGTTGACCAAGTTTCGCTAAATTTTTTATGTCACCTTATTTTTTGCAAGATTATATATGTCTTCCATATGGATTCATTAGAAAAACATTTTTTTCAAGAATGTTGTTTATTGCTCTATGTTATTTTTACTAATAGAATAATATTTTAGAATGAAATTTTTGCAAGCAGTTTTGTATAATTATTTAAAAAAATTATAAAGTTCACACGATAAAAATTGATTTACAGTTCATTTAACACAGCAGGTTGATTTATAATTACTAGGTGGTTGTGTTCATGGTGATGGATTAAGGTTCTGATTAAATTCACTGAAGTCAACATAAAAAAAAAGATAAAAGAACTATTTGCAGGATGAACAAACAGTTAATATGCCTCAGCTTTTCTGCTAAAAGCATTGTTTTGGCTCTAATACATATAATTATATACATTATATCAGCTATATAATTTATTTTTAATGGACGCTTTTTAACAAAACACCATTATTATTATTATTGAAAGGACTCATTTATTGCATAATATACATAAACAATACATGTTTCTTGCAAGAGAATGCATTAGTTGATCAGGAACCAAAATTAATTCCACTCAATGAATAGAAAAAAGCATAATAATTTTCGCAAAGAAATTTAAAAATCATCAGTTCATGCAAACAAAAAACATCTCACAAAGAAAGTACTTCTGATAATTCATCAGACCAGCTGCATGGTGTTTGGGGCTTGTAGATAGTGCCCTGCTACTGGTGTTGTGTGGCTTATACGCCTTGGGAAACTGCTGATTTCTGACCAAAATCTGGCTTTAAAATGCTCATTTCTGGCTATTACTGATCTAAAGCTTCGAAATCTAGCTTTTGGATATTCTCTGATTCTGAAATTAAGTATATATTCACTAAACAACTTCATTCCTCCCTCATTTTTCCATCTTTTATTATAAGTAATGGGTGATGGCTAAAAGTATATTTAATTTGCTAGATCTGTAATTTATTTACTGCCTTTTATACATATAATATATCATTATGTTATATTGCATTATATATAATATCTTTCAAAATCTGCAATGTTCATAATTACCAGTATGTTCGCCTGTTGTGTAGTTTGTATATAAAAGGCATGCTACTTGTATTGACTTGATATACCAGTATATTTGGTAGTAATGCAGACAATATCTTTTTGCAACAATTTTTTGATTTAAAATTCAATATAGGAAGAAATATTCGATATTCAGAAAAATATGCTTTGTATTTTCCATGATCCTAGAAAGTCACAGATTGGTAGACCCACAGGAATTACAAGTTTTTTTAGTAAATAAAGAAAACTGTCTATAAAAAATATAATTATTTAATTTTGTATACCTTGAGTTGGCATGGTTGATAAGACCTAAAAACTTTTAAAATCCTATGATGCCCATATATTGTCTGAAAAAATTCCTGCTTTTTGACAACTTTTGTAAAATCTTCAGTGAATTTAAATGAGAATATACTGGAAGTGTTGTGCTTATAGAGTAAGAATTTATTATAAGAAAGAAAATTTTCCTAAAAAGGGGAAAAAATGAAGGAAATTATATAAACCGGTCAAAGAATTTTTCAAAACCATCCTCTTTATAGAACAGTTTTCAACCAAAATAAAACTTAAGGGGGGGGGGGGGGGTCTTTCTATCAAAAAATGGAGATTCAAAAGAATTTTGTGAGATAGATTTCAGTTTTCTCAAAAATACAAAGTATTTCAAGCATCCTCATATATAATAAGATTTCAAATTTTCTAAATCCAATAGGAACTATATTTAGATTAAAAATAATATTCTTACAAAACAGAACCTTTCAAGGATCAGTTAACACCTTAAAATAAGGCAATACCTTAATTTACACCTCTTTTCATGTGTCTAACAAACAGTGGTTTATCAGATTTACAATGTACACCAATCTAATTGAATTCACATACTCAAGTGACTGAGACTTTTCAAAGTTTAAAAATATTGCACAATGACAATAATTTGTTTTTATTTTAATTTGAACACAGATTAATAACTGGATTGAATTAATGAATTTCCTTGTTTTTTAAAAATGTTTTTACAAATAATTTCACGATATGTTGGTGAGATTTTGGTTTTGTACAATGTCACATGATGTTAATCTTCAGCCAATTAAAATGAAGATACACTGTTGCATTGTGGGAACCAGTGTTCCTGTCTTCCACTTACATGTGGGGTTTTCATGCCATTTTTTTCTTTCATTAATTATCATAGGGCATACAATCCTCGATTGTTTAGGTTACAAAATAAAATTGCCCACCAAGAGAACCAGCTGTCCAAATCAGAGGATGATCACAAACAGAAATCCTCTTCCCATACAGAAAAAGTCAAAGAGTTCCAAAAGGTGAGCAGTCTAATATCAGTAAATTAAATGTTCTCCTCATTCAAGCATTGTTCTGTCATGTTATGCATCTTTGTGTTGAAGTTTGTCTTTTGTTTGTAGCTGCTGGCCATAAAAAAATAATATAAATCATGTACATTCTTTATCATATCCATGTATCATGAATGAAAAAGTTAAACACATCTATGGAAAATATTCATCTATTCATTTTCAATACAATTCTTATAGGGGTATAAGGTATCCACAAGGGTATGAATAATGGACCAAAACTCTTTATTCCTTCTGTATTTTCTTCTTCAGACATAGATATTAGTATTCAGTGTTAAACATAGGATGCCATGCATGCCAATATTCTACCATTCAAAATATTTTTGCCACAACTTGGTCTGCCCCTTTCCAATATTTTCCAATTCACATTTTTATTGTGTGTATATATTCCCATGTATGGAAATTAAACTTTCCCAATTTAATTATGTAAGCCAATTAAAACAGTGTTTGCTGTGCAAATTATTAATTTAAGTTTGAGTGCACTGAAATACAATTGAAACCATTTGAATGTGAAGTGAGGAGGGCCAGGAGATCTAACCGATGCCCTAGCTTACTAAATTGTGAAAAACAATCTAGATTCTCAGAGAGTAAAAAAGATTCTTATTTACTTAACCTGAATATTGGCAAGATTTTTATGAAAAATGTAAAGCAAAAAAAGAGAAAGAAAAACCAGCAGCAGCAACAAGTTACTGAAACATAAGATTTTTGGTTTTGTTCTCTTCAGCTGCCCGATAACTTCCGTTCTCTCTTCATTATCGATCTCCAAAAGCTAGACGTAGGTACCAATGTAAAGTTATATCACCACATAATACAAATTAATCAATAGCAAATTTATAAAATGATCATGCTTATTGTATGAATTAACTAACAAGTAGCTCAAAAAACTTTGGCTGTAAATGATAATATTCTCACATAATATGAAATCAGTAAGATTAAAGATTCACTTTGATCTTGATATTGACCTTGATCAGTTTCTTGCCTAAATTATGGATTTTGTAAAGTAACATAATGATCATTACATATCCATGTGATTTTACTGGTACTTTATATTTTTCTAAAGTTTCACAAAGATGCACGTGACTATTAAAAATAAAACCTACTTTGTACAAAGAGTTACTGCACCATTTAGCCAGACAGACAAACCAATGATACATTCAGACCCTTGTTGGTCAATATATGCATGGGGTATGCATGTAGGACTTTATTGTTTGATGGTAGGGAAAGTCAAACTGTATGTTACACAAATGCATGATCCTGAGGAGAAAAGTTCCACAATGTATGATAGATGTACAATAACTGAGTAAGAGTTGTTGGTTAGGTAGACAGGGTCAACAACTTGATAGCTACCTAAAACACTTCAACTGCATGTTGAATCCTTAGAAAAGGCACCATTTTCTGTCTTATTTAGCCCATGTCTAGGACACTAACCTTACTAGGGGAGGAGGGGGCAAGTGGGGGATTAATCTAAAAATAAAAAGACCTCTTAGTCCATTCACTGGAAAGTTTGACATGATTTTTATAGAGTAAAAGGAATAAATTGCTCCTCATCTTGGCTGAATTTTAGGAAAATGTATATTGAAGTTAAATTTAGCTGATTCATTTTGGCTATCATTGAATTAAATATTTTAAAAACATGGAATTAAAGCTGTATTAATATTAGGGTTGATTTTTTCTTAAAACAGGACTAAAACGTTAAGGTGTGCAGTGAGTAATTTCTAATTGTTCACTGAGTGTATATTGTGTGCATGCATAACCTTTCACCCTCTGTATAATTATATAATGTATTATCTATAAGTCAGTGTGTGTTATGTACTATTTAACTATAGAGGTGTGTGAGGGCATGGGATTTAAGTGGACTTGTGTCAAGATAACACATGTAAAAGCACAATTTATTTTTTATTAAGAAAACATGCTTCTGTTTAAATATGAATTGGTTTGGTTTGAATATTTGTGTGAAAGATCATTATTTTGATGTCTCTTTGTTTGGTACTGTTTGCTATTTTGATAATGGAATTGTCTTATACGATGTCTCAAATCTATATTTCATAACATTTTTGCTCTCCCTAATATTCATTATCCTATTCTTTATGCACAAAAAATGAAGAAAAAAGAGATGGAAAAATAGCTTTTTGCTTTTAATACAGGTGATTTCCTGAAAAAAAATTTAATTCATAAATTAAATCATATTCTGATTAATGTGCAGGGCAAAATTTGATAGAAATGACCCTTTATCATGACAATTTTGTACAGGAATAATTTTTAGTCAATTATACAAGCAAGAGTTACCTTTCTTATCAGAGGGTCAGTGAACCTTAAAACTGCCAACAAAAACTCAATTTGCATTAATAGACTTTGAATTTTTCAAATGATATTTTTGACAAATGAACCAAATTTTAAGGGAGGGGGTCTGTTAAGAGAGCATATGTGTTAATTTTGCAATATTTCTAAATTTTTGCCAGTTAATCTCTTCATTCATATGATATATCTTATATAAGTATGGTCCTTGATGTTTAATTTATGTGAATGAGTGCATGTCAATGTGTTTTAATTTGCTAGCTTTCATTGCAGCCCAGTAAATTGCCCGTACTAATCAGGTGATTTTTACATTCAGTTTACATAAATTGTTTGTAAATAATGCATGACGATGGTGATCTGCATTTTTTGCATTGCATTCTGTTGTAGATGAAAGTGCAAAATGGTAAATCAAAGGGAAGCAACTGGTGTATTATAGTACTTAGAGGATGGTTATTTCATTATAAAGTCTTCTTTTTCAAAGTTAATATGTAGCACTTTTAAGGGAGGTGTTTAAATTTGATTATTAGTTTGGTTAAGGGGGATCAAGTATTAGTCTAAGACATAAGGGTAACTAAGGGATTGCTTACTTAAGTATATGACTTAATAATACTGATGACATAATAATACTAAGAATGGGATAAATATAACTAGATGCAAAAAGCTTCATTAATGTGTAGTCATACTAACATCAAAATGACATTTTCTCTGAACATCATTTGGAAACTTCTTGTCCAAAATTGGGACTTGTAAAAACTTTGCTAATTTTGATTGTGGAGACCAATTCTTATAAGATTTGTCATTTCATTTTACAGAAACTTCAAGAAAACATGATGAAAAAGCAGCTGATGAAGAAGCACCAGTCTAAATAAGGGGAGGATCCAAGCATAACAAGAAGACAGGAGCGGATCTAAGATTTTATTGGACATTATTTGTATAGCTGACAGTAGAATTGTAAATACGATACTTATTTATTGTGTGTGCTAGGTGCTGAAAACATGCATTTACAGACATGTGATGGGTCTACAGTCTATTTTTAAGAGGAAATTTTGTTAAAAACACAGTTTTGTTGTCTTTTCCTGGGTATAAAACATTTTATTAAAATTTGTGTCAAAATATTAATTCTTGTACGTTGAAATTACATGTAAATGATAAAAAATAAAGAATTCTAATAAAGATATATTTCTCTATTAATGGACATCCTACAAATATATTTATGTAATTATATATATTTATATGAAAACTTATGCTAATAACTGGTATTTGATTAATTATTATCTTGAATGAATATTTTGAGTAATTAAGAAGAATATCTGATATGGTATGAAACTTTTATAACATACTTTAGGAGATTGATAATTTATAAATGTAGTAGTAACTTGTAGGGAACTTTTGCAAATTTTCCATAGGGTCTGACAGTGAAACATATATATCTTGATGCTCAAATAGACACCTGCACAAATCTATGTATATACCTCCAATACAGGTTAGAGGGTGAAACAGGGGTTGTGTGACTGTGGTTTTACTGTAGTGAGATTGTCAATTACTGTCAGAGTCTAAAACTTCACAAATATTACGCAGCCAGACTTTTATTGTATTAATATGTACCTTGTATATGTATGTAAATTTTCTGGTTATCTGTGATATGTAAAGTTTAATATTTTAATGGAGATATTAAATTTCAAACACTCAACTGCTTGTTAATTTTATTTTTATTCAGTTGATCATGGCAATAATTAGTTATTCAGATACCCATGGAAATAATTATTCAGACACCCTGCAAACTACCTTTAAAAAAATCTGACACCAACATATAATTTTGGATATATTTTTTCCTAAAAATAATTTGAAAAAATAGTAATTATATGTAAGTTACCTAATGCAAGTAATGACTACCTTACTTGCAATCTAAATAAAATTGGATGTTCTGAAACTTCTACCACTTCCTTAGCGAAAGAACTGTAGCTCTCCAAAAAAAAAATGATATCGACGGACCGGTTTCTGGTCGTTTTTTTTTTTTTTTCAATTTTTTCAGACCAGTGAGCTACGGATCTGCAGCTACCGCCTTTTGCTTCGTGAGAAGCTGTACAGATTTGGAATATTTAATTTTAATCAAATTGCAAATATGGTTATGTAGTACGTATAAGTGAAAAAATATGTATGCCAACCAATGTACTAATTAATTATAAACAGCCGGAGTCTGAACTTGTTTACGAAAAACAGACAAAATATACCCATGTTGTGTTAAAAGGTCATTTATTCACAAAAGTACTTTACTCATAATATTTGATACTATACTGGGAAATTTTCGCCCCCGTTTTATTTTCGCCATGACATCGATTGAGCGAATTAAAAAAAGGGGCGTATTAAAAGAATAGTATAATTTCTTAAGCAAAATTGTAACTTGGCGAATTTAAAACGGGGCAAAATTGTTTTCAAGTGTGACAGGGCGAAACTAACACTGTATACAGTAATAAGCATTTAGAAAATGCTTCATTTGATAGGATTGTAAATGATATAGGTTCGCAAAGGTGTGTTTAATTAAGATTAAAAGCATCTAGAGTTCCTGACAGAAAATGAGATAGCTGCAGAACTGTGGCGTTATGGTTTTACATTGAAGTCTTCGACCACTACAATTTATCGCTTGTAGAGGCGACTATAAAGGGTTGAGAGGAGGAGAAAATACTGTATACAAATTGGCTTAAGAATGTGTCTGGAGTTAGGGGGTGAAAGGTATATGATTTACGTAAGTTAGAAAGTGCAATTCTCCCAAAAAATTTTGTTCCGTAAATTGCACATTTTTTTGCATTACTGGATCTGTTGCATAATAGTCAAAGACTAATATTTGAATCCATAACGCTACAATTCTGCAGCTTATTTCACTGTGAAACATACACCAGTAGTTCAATTGTTTTTGAGGACTTATGCAGGATCAGGCAAAAAAGTGCACCTAATGCAACCATTACTTTTTAAAAGCTCATATAGGCGTCGGAAGCAAATTGAATGGGGGGCTTAACCAAAGAAAAAGGTAAATCCCAATTTTCAATGCCTATATAATGTCTATTTTTGTCCAAAAAATGGGGGGGGGGGATGGGGGAGGCTAAGCCCCCCCCCCCCTAAGTTCCGACGCCTATGTTGCTGTTATAATCATGAACTGTACATGCCCTTGAGGGGCCCTTTATTGATGAATAAATGAATATAAACCATAGACGGCAGAAGAAATTGAAAAGGGGATCGAGGGGATGGGGGTGGTCGAGCTAAACCAAGAAAGGGTTAGCCGAAATTTTCAATGTATTATATCTGCAAAAAAAAAAAGAAACAAACAAACAAGCAAACAAAACAAAAAACACTGTATGACCTCACAATACACGTGACGTCACAATAGGTATACCGTATACTTAGCGACAGTGAAGGGTGATTTTAGCACTATAACTTTCGCAATGCTGGAAATAATAAGAAAGACCGTGGTAAGTAATAGCTTAATTGTCTATCAATGTACTTCATCTCATTGTCTATCCGTGTGTACTTAGCTAAATTGTCTATCTGTATGTACGTAGCTTTATTGTCTAGCCGTGTGTACTTCGCCTAATTGTTTTTCTCTGTGTATTTAACTTATTTTCTTTCTGTGTGTAATTAGTTTAATAGTCTTTTTGTGTGTGCCTAGCTTTATTGTCTATAGCTCTGTTTTCTTAGCTTAATTGTCTGTCTAGCTGAACTTAATTGTTTGTCCGTCTGAATTAGTTTAATTGTCTATCAGCGTGCACTTTACTTTATTGTCTATCTTTGTGTGTACTTAATTATATAACTGAAACTGTCTCTCTGTGTATACATAATTTGATTTTCTAGCCTTGAGTACTTCCCTTTATTGTTAATATGTGTGTACTTAACTCACTAGTCTAGCTGTGTGTACTAAGCTTAATTTTCTATCTCTGTGTACTTAATTAATTAGCCTAATTGTATAGCTGTGTGTATACATACTCAGCTAAAATGTCTACAGTGGACCTTTAGATATTCGGACGCCAGATATCCGGATGCTTCAGTATCCGGACGACTTTTCATCGGAACAGAACTTTTTAATGTTACATTGTCTTGTTTAATTGTTAATTCAGATATTCGGACGCTTCACATATCCGGACAAATTGACAAGGAACCAAGGCGTCTGGATAAATGAGGCTCCACTGTAGCTGTATGTCCATACTTAGATTTATTGTCTATCTAAGTGTACTTAGCTTAATTGTATTGCTGTGCGTATATACGTCGCTGAATTGTCTATCTAAGTGTACTTAAATAATTGTCTATCTACGTGTACCTAGCTTAGCTCAATTGTTCATCTGTCTGTACTTTGCTTATTTGATTTTCTGTGTGTACTAAAAAGGTAAATGCCAATTCTTTATTCCTATATTATGTATATTTTTGCAAAATAAGGATAAACCCCCCCCCCCCTTACGCTTCCGACGCCTATGGTGCTGTTATAATCATGAATTGTACATGCCCTTTGGGGGGCCCTTGATTAATGAATAAAGAAATATTAACCACATACACGGCGGAATACTTAGTAAATTGAAAAGGGGAGGGGGTAGGGAATGGGGGTGGTCGAGCTAAACCAAGAAAAGGTAAGCCAAATTTCAAATTATCTCATCGTCTCAAACCACGGTCCGGAGTCCGCATATAGCTCTCTCCATTGTATGACCTCACAATACACGTGACGTCACAGTAGGTACACCGTATACTTAGCGACAGTGAATGGCGATTCTGGCACTATAACTTTCGCAATGCTGGAAATAATAAGAAAGACAGTGGTAAGTAATAACTTAATAATTGTCTATCTATGTACTTCATCTCATTGTCTATCCGTGTGTACTTAGCTAAATTGTCTCTCTGTGTGTACATAGCTTTATTGTCTAGCCGTGTGTACTTCGCTTAATTGTTTATCTGTGTGTATACTAAACTTAATATCCCTTTAAGGGGGGGGGGGGGGGCTGCTGTGAGCACTTGTCTACGTGTACTTACCTAAATTGTCTATATAAGTGTACTTAGCTTAATTGTCTATCTATGTGTACCTAGCTTAGCTTAATTGTCTATCTATGTGTACCTAGCTTAGCTTAATTGTCTATCTATGTGTACCTAGCTTAGCTTAATTGTCTAGCTATGCGTACCTAGCTTAGCTTAATTGTCTAGCTATGTGTATACCTAGCTGAGCTTAATTGTCTAGCTATGTGTATACCTAGCTAGCTTAGCTTAATTGTCTAGCTATGTGTATACCTAGCTTAGCTTAATTGTCTATCTATGTGTATACCTAGCTGAGCTTAATTGTCTAGCTATGTGTACCTAGCTTAGCTTAATTGTCTAGCTATGTGTATACCTAGCTGAGCTTAATTGTCCAGCTATGTGTACCTAGGTTAGCTTAATTGTCTAGCTATGTGTATACCTAGCTGAGCTTAATTGTCTAGCTATGTGTATACGTACCTAGCTTAGCTTAATTGTTTAGCTACATGTATGTGTATACCTAGCTTAGCTTAATTGTCTATCTATGTATAGCTAGCTTATTGTCCGTCTGTCTGTACGGTGCTAATTTGTCTTTCTGTGTGTACTTGGTTAGATTTAGAAGCGCCTAATCTTTTCGTTCTTTTTGGTACATGTAGTGTAACAGATCTAGATATGATTTATAATATATCCTATTTTATGAATCAGAGGATGGCGGGTTTATGGATTCCAATTTGTAGTTGGTGGTGGAGTTTAGGCCTCTCAAACATTAATTGCATTAACGTACTACGTACTAACGTAAAATTTAAACTTGATCTATAAATCATCAAAATCAAGTCACATACCGAAAATTAGCTGAATAAGCGTTTAGTAAGAAATTGCGGACAATTCTTAAAAAGTAAAAAAGCCACAATTCCGTCAAAAATCACTGAAAAGTTGTGTACGGTTGAACGTATGTTGTAAAGTGGCGTAGTTTAATTATATTTTCCTTTTTTCAGTTAGTGGAAGAAAAGAACATCCAAATTTTTGAGGCAGTACTTGCAGAACTGATGCAAGTGATGGAAGTGGTAATATTTCATTCTGCTTATTATTTGCCCTTTTTACCCAACGCAACATGACCAATTTCTTCTTATAAAGTCTCTAACCATGCGCAATTCGACACCCTGTATATTCTGAACATGTCGGATTAGACAGATTTCACTGTATATTGTTTTAGGTGCCTGTTGCTAGTCATATTCAAATTCAAATTATATATGTTGTATAATGTAATCACATGTACTTATACATGTATTGTTTGTCAAGACAATCAACATTTTTTGTATTATTATTTCTTATCTGAAGCATGTGTTATTATTATTTTCTTTCACTCTGAATTTAGATAAAAAATGAAACCAGCATGAAGACTGGATATATGCACGAACAGCAAATGCTGACATGGGCAAAGGTTTGTGAATAATCATTGAGTATATTATAATATTCGTTTTACTTCTTAATTTCAAACTATCTTTTTCTTACATAAAAAAAAATCAAATAATCTTCACATAGAAACCATGTATTTCATCTCTTGTCTTATATTTTAGGATCTAATATTGGAAATCTTTGAAGAGGAAAAAGAGAAATTTCCTATTGATAATATAAATGAAATTTTAGGAAATGTGTCTGAGATATTGTTGGTAAGTATAAACAAAGGTATTAAAAGCTAATTTGTGA